TTACAGGATACAAGTATGTAACAACTTGCCTCTGAAGTGATTAAGGGCTTTTCATTTTATGTTGCATTTGTTCCAATCCCCGTAATTCTAATGAAATGCATGTATCTTTCTTGCAGTCTCTTTCTCTTGTCTTTAATGTGTCCATCTTCCTAAAGAACTTGTCAAAGAATGTGGTGTCGTTGAACAATATTCCCTTGATCAAACAGGAACAAAAGAAAATATAATATTCAGTAGTGATCTATAGCTTAAAAAGGGAATGTAAAAAGATCATTAACCTCAAACTGAGCTCAGATATATTCCCTGTTGGGAGGGAATATACAAAATATGGTTATTACAAAGGTTTGATACTGGGGAGAAAAAAGCTTAGAACCCATTTTACGTATTCAGTATAGATAATCTTTACCTAAGAGGAATATGTGTAAAAAGGTACACGTAAAGCTTGTGCATTTTATGGTTAATGTTTCTTTTATGCCCTGCTTTCCCTGTAGTTAATAAACACAGTAATATTGTAATGGATGGTGCTAAAATGTGATAATTTTGTTTAGTCAGCAACATGGTATGTTTAACTGGATTGTGACATTTAAGCAACAAAAAAGGAATACCATTCAGATTGCTCCATGGAAGGAGAAGTAATTGTCTTGGACACCTGTAATTTCATCATCTCCTTATTTTTTTGCCAATTCACTGCAGATGATTTTGGCAGTTTAGCACAATAAGCATGTTAAGCCTTCTGCATGAAGGACACTGGTATCTGAAAAAAAATTCTATACTACTGTAAATAACCCACTCAACTGTTTTGTGCTTTATTATATAAACCCCCTTAGTTCTTGTCTGTGCTAGTTGTTACTAATGGAAGTTTAGCACATCCAGCTGTACCAGTCACTCCAAGTCCTTGCTAGGCTTTTTGTCAGTTAAAATTACATACAGTAGTTTTCAGCAGAACTCCAAACTTTAAGCACCTTGGAAAGCACTGATTATAAGCTGTGTGTTTTTAAGTAAAATGTACAAACAAATTTGACCCTCCTGGAAATGTATTCACACATTATAATGAGTTGCATGTAGCAGATACTGTTAAAATAATGATAGTGTGACACCTAAGAAATAGTAATAAATGTTACTATGACTGTGAGAAAAGATGAAAAGAAAATGTGTGACTGCTGCTCTATGTCACTTCATTGGCTGAAACAAAACAATGCAATCCTGCTGTGATTGTATGATTCTAATGTGGAATATTAATTTAGGTGATATAATGACCAGGGAAAGTAGAGATAGAAGTATCAAAGGTTGAAATAATTATTACTTTTTTTAAGGCCGTGCCTATTTTTCAAGATCTGATTGGAGAAAAGATTGAAATGTAGGAGAACTTTACAGAGCTGATGGAACTTCTAGAGTTAAAATAATTAGAAGAACAAGTGATTTATATAGACATACACATTAAGTTAATATTCTACATTTGCATAATAATAACTGGGAAGGAAGATGTCACCAAAACATGAAATGTGGGGAGCAGATAACTAGTCAGTATAAGTGGCCAGACTGCCAGGGCAGTAACACTGGTAGGAAGTCTTAGCACCCAAATTATTTCTACCACAATGATGTCGGCTCCTGAAATTTAGGCTCCAGCTGCTCATTTCTGTCCTGCTGACTTGTGGTTTTGGCAACCACCTTGCAAGAGTTTCAACCTGGAATACTGGGGAGTGTAGATGAAGGAAGGAGGGGGGCTGCCACGAGGCATGGCCTGTGGAAGATGAGAGGCTTGGCAGAAAATGAATTAATCTGAGTCTTTCCTGTCCATCAGTGGTACCTCCAGCAGTTCTGAGTATGTCCTCTGCTAGCACTTCTGTCAGGGCCCAGGTGCTCAGCTGCTGGTGTTGTCAAGGTCCATCCCATACAAATACTGTTGCATGGAATCTTTATTGCTCTGTTTTGCTTGTGATGCAGGTGTTGCTGTTCCTTCTGTGAGTGCCTTTGGCTGTGACTGCAATTCATCTGGAACAGAAAACCAGTTGTTGAGAAATAGTCTTTTATTTAGTGAGCCATGCCAAACAAAGCTGGAGCACAGAACCCTGCTGACAGTGATAGAAATTTTAGAGGTGATTATGGGTGTGGGAGTGGGTCTCTTGGTAACTGATACTACAGTAACCTTTTCTACTTCAACATCAATTTATTGTTCTTTTTCATAGTGATTAGGTAGATAATGGTACAAGCTTGCACTGCTTGATGTTGTTCTCCTCTGTGTAAAAACACATTTGAAAACTAATTTTGTGAGGTTCAAATGTCTGTTCATAAAAAGCCTGGAGGAGAAAGGCTATCCAAGAACTTATTTTACTAGGAATTCCCCAATTTCTAGTGAAATGCAATACTTGTGTCCTAGTGCAGTAAGCTGCAGTCTTACTTTCCCAAGCCCACTGAATTGCCTTCCAAGGAAAAAACCCAAACTGTACCAGTGAAAACCAATGTTTCCTTTTTCTTCTGCGATATTGATCCTCTTCCCCATTAGTGTTATAGAGAACTCCTGACTCCTACCATCAGTGAGCTCTGTGCTTTCTGAAACTGCTGTGTGCTCTGAAGTCTTGCTCTGAGTGCTAAACCAAAGAGGACTATCCACAGCATTGATACTGGATTTTGCCCAAATCCTAAAATTTTTCTTAAAAATCTGTGTTGAAAAAACATTTTCTGCTCTTTGCGAGTTGCAGTAATGCTGTCAATCCCTCATCTGAAATTTATTTCTTCGTGTCTGTTCTTAACTGTGACTATCTCTTGGCACTTGTCAACAAAAATGTCTGTCTCTGCATTTTTTGGTATTTAATATTGTGTCCTGGTTAACCAACGAGGCAACCCAACCTGACACGAGGAGATAGAATTTATGATGGAGAAATGCACAGCACATCTCTTGGCACAGTTAGTGCATGGGGCCAGGTGAGCAAAAGTGGAGGCTGAATTTTTATTGCCAGACACTGAACAGTGCCCCTAGGACTTGTGGTTCCTCCAAAAACCTCCTCTGTACACAGGTGTCTTGCACTTCCCTGGAGGAAAGTGCTGTTTTATTTGGGTTTGTCACTGGAGCTGCCCCCGTGGCAGCCACTGGGTTTGTGATCCATCCTCTGTCAAGGGTGGGTGGGTGTCTGTCACTCTTGTCACACTGTTCTGCTCTGCTCTCCTGGCAGATGCTCCCACCTGCCCTGTGGCTGATAGGTCTGGGTCAGAAAGCTTGTTGAATGCTGGTAGGGCCTTTGTCCATCTGAACTAGTGATCTCTTTGAAGCACTGGCTGGACTTTCGTGATGCTCTGATCATGGTAAACATAAAAGCTCTTCCATTTTGAAGACTGTATTCTTTCCTGGTTTTAGTAACTCTTCCAGTGAATGATTAATTTACCTTATACCAGGTATCAGGGTCTGTACTGTTTCAGCTGTGCTGCTAAACAGGTCTTTGTATGCTGATACACGGTAGTTTGGGAGGAAAAACTCATTGGAATATCCAATGAAAGCAGATGCTTTTATTAAAGATGGGAAGGCCACTAGACTGCACACCTGCTAGTTGTAAAAAATGAGTTTAATTTGAAAATGGACCCAGAGATTTGTTTCATTTCACTACTCGTTAAATCAGTTACGAGCAAAGAAATTAGGTAGCAATACATTGCTTAATGTTTTTTGTGTATATCTTAATGTGGTATAAGGAGTTTTTAATCTGTATTCAAACTCATAGGTTGCTATTAATTATAAAATATTGTAGTTTATTTTTAAATAACAATTACTGTAAACAACAATAAATCTAAATAACAATTGATAAATAAATAATGGGCTGCAGTAATTTTTCTCTTTTTAACTTTCCCTATCCCCTGCCACAGCTTGGAGGGGGGAAAAAAACCCTGTGTGAAAAGTGATCTTGTTTTGATGCTAGTTAGCTATAAAACTCCATTTATCTGCTTTCATTTTTTTGACATGGCTAACTTGTAATAAATGAGCTTTGTGCTCTTCAATTGAGACTCAGTGATGTGTATATTCTTGTTTCATAATCATGTCTAAATGATTAGCCAAGCAGAAAATTGCATGCTCAGTACAAAAAATAAATTGAAGAGGGTAACATTGTTATATTATTCTTCTCTTAATTGTAGTACAACACTTTGAAATTGAAGAAACGTGTGTTTCATGACATATTTTAGTACTAGTAGAAAGTTCTCTAATTTGCATTTGTATACAAATAGCTTTTTCCTCCCGTGCTTATTTAAGTGAACAAGTAAAAATAAATCTTTACATTTAGAACATTTATAATGTCTGGGGACTTCTACTCAGTTCCTGGTTTGGAAATCTTTTAAATGTATAAACTTCAAATGTCCTGGGTATTCTCGCCCTTCTTACTGCTTATCTCCTCACACGCCAACACTTACTGGTGAGTATCAGATTTAAACAAATGCTTTTGGCATGTTTTGTGTTTTCCCAGTCCTTTCAGGATCCTTTAGAACCTTTATAGTTTAGGTAGGAATTAGAAACTATCCAGGACGGCACTAATTTTCTGAGATTTTCTACTGGTCTTAGGACATGCTGAGCATCAGTTATGTTCTAAACAAATGACTTCAGAGTGCTTTAGAGCACAAATTACCCAGCCTGAAGACAATGATGTTTATGGTTGCAAAGAGCCCGTGTTCATCCTCTAGTGTTCACTCTGTTACAATTACAGGGCGGTCTGGGCTGCTTGTTTTTCAGAACACTGGATGTTTGGGTCACATATTCTTGTACTGATTCCTCAGAAGGATTTTGAAGATTATTGTGGTTAGTGCAGGCCTTATTCTTAGTGCTAAGCTCATCACTCTGCCTGGCCTGATAGCTGAGAGTGAGCTCAGGTGGTGTCTGTGCACTGTGCATTCCTCTGATCAGGGGTTGTCTTAACACGTGGCATTTAGGAAGAGATCAGTTTTGAACTGACTTAACAGCTGGTGTCCTGTGCTGTCATAGAGGTACCAACACTTCTCAAAGCCAAGGTGTTCCCAGGGACAGCCTGTGGGTCTCTGCATTCAGCTGATTTCTGTAACTGAGGGCCTGTCATCTCTAGCAATGTCTCTTTACGTGCCTACAGAGAGCTTTGACTGGTGTGTGGCTGCTCATGCCAAACTGGTTAGGGCTGGGAAGAGCCCTCCACAGGCATGGGAGGGTGTAGGGAAGGAAATGGAGTGCTGAAGGAATTGCACCTGTTAAATGGTCAGGCAAGAGCATGGTTAGAAACAGAGCTGAAGACTGGGAAACTGCAAAGTTGGTATCATAAAACAGGGTGCAGGGGAAGCAAGCAGGGTTTGGCTCATGTGAGGAAGGTGGAGAACTAGAGCAGGCAGGGAAAAGGTCAGACTTGTGAGCACAAGTGTAGCTGAAGACAGTCTCTCATGTTAGGTCCTGCTCATGTGCTGGGCCTTGGTCTCCTGACATGTGTTTGACCATGGCCACATTGTCCAGATGGCATCTGGTCACCCTCACCCTTCACTGGATCTTTAGGGACTTGTCACAGTCTTTTGAGCCCTTTAAAGACATTATGCTATTTTTATGTGTGACTTGATCTCTTAACATTTATGACATAATGGGATTTTCTTCTGTTTGTCATAAGTTTAAAACAGTAGCTGACATGTGTGTGAGATGAGACTTAATTTAATGATCTTTTGCTGTAGATCTATTCATTGTGATATGTTGTTGTTGAAACAAGATGTTTAGATTACTTTTTAATTTTTGATCACGTGCAATAGTGGCAATAGCAATGCTTTGCCCCCAAGCAAGCATCTTGCAATGTAAGGCAGTTCTAAATGCCACTGCCTATGAAAATGTGATGCAGAGTATTTTTCTTTTTTTTTTTTTTTTTACACATTCTTTCTTGCCCTACAAAACTTAAAATGCAGCTGGTTGAGTTTTGGGATGTGTTGTCAGCCACGATGGACCATTTCAGAATTAGCAGATGGGCTTTGTTTTTGATTGAGAAAGGTTGGGGGTTTAAGGGAGGGAACAGAATATTTTTTTTTTTAGTCCTCAAAAACTTGCATTTTTAAAAATGGTGTGACCCTGGAGAACTGTCAGTGCAGCACATGTACATAAGCCAGATACACATATGATTATTAGCTTCAGAACTAGCTGCTATCCTGAAGCAATGAGAAGGGGAAAGGAAGCATCACATTTGACTAAACAATCTATTTCCTGGTGCTAATGAAAACTCAGGTCAAAGTCAGAAATAGATGGAAAATTGAGAACAGGAGGAAAATAAGTTTTGCTTCCCATTTTTTCCCAATGAGTGATAAATGTTTTGCTTCTGAAAGCCATATTGGTGTACATAATCACCGACTGCAATGTGTTGGAAAGTGCCAAACCATCAGAACTGTTGTGAAGTTGATGCTTAGAGTGTATCACATGGAAGATGCAGTGAAGTCGTTGCAAAGCTGAACACTGTGGATTGTTTTGGTTTCATATCTTTTCTCCAACCAGACCTGAGTATGTTTGTTCCTCTTTCATCCTTCCCTCCCTATGCCCATCCAGCTGTTGTAGGTGTAAAGGAACCCTGGAGTTTCCCCATCAAAGAACGAGGTGCTGTTTTCAGAGAGCTGTTCTACATCATTTAACCTAACACTCAGATTTATTTGAAATGTGAAACTCAAGGAGTTTCTGCTGTGATAAGGAGAATGTGGAAAGTAAGGTGGGAGATTTTACCTGCACATTGTGATAGTTTTCCACTCCCTGGACAGAGCATTCTGAGAGATGCCTTCAAAGAAACTGGTGTCAGATATAGCCCTGGTTTTTGTGTGTTTGGGAAGCCTATTGCAAACCCTAAAGAATTTAAACTTCCACATGGCAAGAACAGACCTGCTTTGCTCATTATGTTTAACTCGTGTCTGAAACAAATGTAAATGGGTCTGACAGTGGTGGGGTGCTTTCACTGCCCCATAAGTGACAAACACAGTGGATGTGATGCAGCTGAGGAACCTTCTAGGTAACTGCAACCCAAAAGAAGTAGGAAAATCCCAGAGCTGAGGGTAGGGAGGGGGGCTTGCATCTTTCTTTCTCCCTTTATCTCAACAGTCAGTTTGAATTCAGGCAGCCCAAAGTGAACCAGCAGAGAAAAAAAAATTCTGCTGTGTACTGAGAGCCAGACTGAGACAGGGCATGTAGGGTAGAACTTGGGAATAAGGTCCTGTGATGGGAGTTCTCTCCATTCTCTTTGCCCTGGGGTTCTGGACATCCCTGGACACAACTAAGCCAAAGTGTGCATTTAAGTGTGCAAACACGCACTGATCCAAACTGTTACTGAGTTGTAAATGGCCATTCAGATTCAATTTTAGGAATCCTAAATTGTTCTACGTGGTCAGGTATTGAATGACTTTTATTGAAGGTGGGCTTTCTTCTAGGAAGAAAGCAGGTTTTACCTCTTTTCACAAACTGACCTTCTGTGTGCACACCTAAATAATTTGATTTTTTTTTTCTGAGACTTCTTGCCCTTCACACTATTTTTATAGAATATCCAAAACTGTTTCCTTTGTTCAAAATGAGTGGCTTTATTCTATGCCACCAGGATAGGAGAAACAAAATAAAAGGGTTGCTTGTCTCTTCTTAACACTTTGGTAGTGTTACCAAAAAGAACAACACCAATCATGTTGGTTTTGGCAAATCTCAAGCATTTTCTTGGTGAATAAATAGATAAGGAAGAACTCTGGAAAGAGCATCTGAAGAAATTTACTGTAGGAAATAGAGTATGACTGTTTGAATTAGCGATAAAAACTCGGATCATTCACTGTGGGATGCCAGCTTAAAGAAAAGAAAAAACTAAAAACATCTTGATCTTCTTGCCAGAGAAGAAGGTGTAATCCCTAAGTTTTGACATAAGCAGTTATACTCAATTTGTACTTTATAACTTGACGGGAGAGGCGAAATGTGGCCTTTTGTCTTTCGAACAGCTGTAGGTATTTCTTAACTTGTTTTGGTTTTCTTTTGTGAAAGGAGTTGTCCCCACCCTGAGAATAAAATGAAACCAGAAACTGGCTTGCTCCAGAGGCCACAGAAGCTAAAAAGTGTGAAATACTTGCTGTTTATCAGTGAGAGAAGGTCCTTTAATTCGGAAATGGGAAGTATTTTGATAAAAAACTGCAAAGATGACAACAGCTATTTTATCTCAAATTTAAGACTTTGGATTTAAGATGTTTGACTGTGGATTTTGCCCAATTAGGTCTGGTCTGTTTTTCTTCACGTTTAATGTAATTACAGGTAGTGCCATGAGTTCCTTCCAAGAGCTGCACAAAAAGGCACAAATGAGTACTAGATGTGCTTTTGCCAAGTCAGACTTCCAAGAATCAGCTTTTAGAGAAGAAAAAGATGATTCATATTGCATTTCTATACTTGCCAACTATTCCCACCTCACCATTATTTTATTTGGGTTAATCTGATCCCTTTAAATCACAGTATTTTGGGGCTCACTCTTTTGAGAAAGTGAACAAGCCAGAGCACCGTGTAGAGAGGGATTGAGAAGCAAATTCTTTGAGGGTCTGTTGATAATGTTCATAAAATGTAGGCTGAACTAATGTCTCGCAGAGCTGTGAGGTCCCTGAGGGTGTGGGATAGAATAAGTTGATTCAGGATCTATGTGAACAATTCTGTGCACTGAAGACTAAGGAGCTGTATTTTTCTTTTCAGTTCTATTTGCAGGTTAATTTCTTCTGGAGAGTCTAGCTATATTTTTATATGTAAACTCAATGAACATGGTTTCTTGCCTGTAAGAAGTCAAATGTGGGACTTCATTCGCAGAGCCACAAGCATTTTGTGACACTGAGTCTTCAGGTAAAAACAAAAAATTATGGGATAAATTCCCTCACAGAGCTGTTGCTTTTTTTAACTTGTTTTTGTGATCCAAGTCTACTACTTTGCTTCCTTGAATAGCTGTTTAGAGTCTGGAGTGGATGTTTAATTTTACACTGAAATTAATGGATTCTGGATGACTTTCCACCCTTCCACTGCAGTGTCCTTCTGTACAAACATCTGTTTATTCCCTGACAAGAAGAGCAGAGTATAAGAATTTCTACCCAATTAATACCAATATCATGCTGTTTTTCTTGCCTTTGACTGTATTTCAGTAAAGTTTCTAAGAATATCTGTGCTTTCTGCTGGACAGTAGCACCTGATGAATTGTTCTCTAGAGCAGGGATGTATTCCTTCACTAGGGCCAGATATCAGTGGCAGTGTTGTGACTGTGAGTCCAAGTCTTCCTGAAAGATTCAGTGCCAGATGTAGAAAACTGAATTGAAGTCTTAAAGCTGAAGCTGAAACACAAATCTTGTGTCAAGTTCACTTAATAAATAATAGGTCTGTTAATCAGTTATCCTAACGCAGTTTGGTTCAACTAGGTGTTGTAGGTGTGAAAATTCTCTATTTTTGTTACAAATCTCTCCATTGGAGAACTTACCCTTTTTTCCCCCCAAAGCATTCATGAGGTATGCAGGTTGAACAGCTCCAGCACTAGGAAGTTGCAAGTTCCTTTTATTGGTTTTTTTTGCTGCTCTCAGTTTTGTTGGTCATTGAGGATGCATAAGAACTGTTTTATGTGAGCACTATGTGAAGTTGTTGAATCCCAGTGTCAACATTCAGCTAAATCACTGTTGAGCCTTGCAATTGTTTCTTTTGGGGAGGAATTGCGGGTGGGAGGTAAAAAGTTCAGGGTAATTATTTCTCTACTGCATTGAAAACAAGCTTTGTACCTATTGTATGCACTTGCCTCTGAAGTATAAACAGTTTATGCTGTTGAAATGTTTTGGGAGAGCAGTGAAGGTATTGGAGGAAGGGTGTGATTTGTAGCTATTTAAAACTTCTGCAAATACTCAAAGGAGAACTTATTTCATTTTCACTTACATATAATTGATTTAGCATCAATTCTGGAGCTAAACCAATGTACTGGTTGGTTGGTCTAATGTATGGCATCTGATATGCAAAGTACCTTTACTTGCCTGGTGCCCCACAAGAGGCTGAAGCTGTGCGGGTCTGAAGAGCTTTTGTGGCAGCACAGCTCTTGTGTGAGGAGATCCATGGGGGAAAGCTGTGAGCCTCCCTGGTAGCTGCTTCCATTCCCGTTGCCTGTGTATCCAGCTGGTTTCCTGTTTCCCAGAGCCGCCTCCAGCTCATCTGACCGCTGTCATCGGCTCGGCTGGGGAGGCAGCAGACGCAGCCAGAGGAGCCTGTGAAAGCTGTAGGAGAGAGAGGAGCACACAGAGCTGAGTTACTACGACTTGCTGTCCTATTTCTCATTTTCACAGCCTCTGCTGGCTGGTGAGAACTCTTGTAGGAGCTGACCAGGAGCAAGAAGTGAGATGGAAGTTCTGAGCAGAGCCAAGGATGGGAAGAAGTCTGAATCCTAAAACTGCCCATGGTGGCTCTGCTAGCAGAATGTGATCATCTGGGGATAGCTAGTTGAGAAGACAAAGATCCCAGTCAAATAATTTATATGCTTTCATCTGCCAAGTGTGTTACTGTATGACCTATTAAATATATAACTCTGCAATGAGCTGACAGAATGTTTTTGGCGAGAGAATGTACTTTTCACTGGGTTTTCCTGCACAGTAATCCTTTCTGTCAACCTCTCTCTACTGACACTCAAGACATTTTGAACTTCTTGGCTGCTTTCGATTAAATTTGACAGAGCAGAAAGAGTTCAAAACTAGTTTTCCGCAGGCTTCATGAAAATAGGTGCGCAGACAAATTTACATTCCCTGTTTATCCATTGTAGTGTGAGCTTAGCTATATTACTACACAGCAAAGAATCTAAGACAGGGTAAGTTCCAGTGCTTACAAAATGACCTGCTTAATTGTGTCACATGCCCATAAAACAGCTTTGCCACCAACCTTTGTTAAAGTTTACCAAAAATAAAGTTGAGAGCCGGCTCAGAGACTCTGTTCTAAGGTGTGGAACAAATTTAAGAACCAAAGAGGGTTTTTTTTGTTTCCTTTATGTTACTAGGACTATGTACCCAGTGAGAATACATTTATCCATCCTTAGAAAAATATGGTCAGGCACTCCTAAAAGGTTCTAAAATAGAGATCATGGGATCTTCATGGTCCCACCTGTGGAATTCTCTTCCTGTAGCTCTGCCACTGTAGGACCTAAGCTGGTCCTGGCCATGGTCTGGGAATCGGTGGGCAAAGTGAAGCTGTGATTAGTAACTGCAGGTACCAGTTCTGGGGTTCAAACAGAGTGGCCTCAGGTTCCTTCAGAAGGCAGGTTTGGAGGCACAGCAGGACCATGTGGACAGAGCGACTGGCACAGGGCTTCAGCTGTTGGGAACACAAAGTCTCCAAGGCTATAATCCTTGGAATGAAACAATTGTGCAGAGTGCCAGGAGGAGGGACAGGCATTTTCCATTTTAACTCTGGGTGGGAGACCAGTTGTCAGTCTTCTACCTGTCAAAGAACAGAACTGGATTTTTGTTATGAAAGAAATTGGACTGACATGAGGCTTTGCATATTTATTACAAGAAGATATTTTGTTAAACCGTGGTTAATTATTAGTGAGCTGGGAAGCCTGTCCAGTGTGAGGTTTCCTTTAAGCATGCCACAGGCTGTTGTGAAAACTAATTTGAAGGACCTGCAGGTTTTCACATAATTTTTGGTTGTATCCATGTCAGGCTCTTTGTCTGAAGAGTCACATTATGAATTCAAAGTAATACAATCCTCTGCCACAACATGGGATCCAAGCACATAATTTTCTGCAAAGTGACTTGTCTTTTTTTTTAGGTAAAAAAAAAAAAATCTTACGAGGAAAACTTCATCTCTCCCGTTTGAGAAAGTAATAATTGGTGTATGTTATCCCTGAATATGGATTATATATATAAAATATGTAAAAGCAGTGTATCTGTGGAACATCTGAGAACAGTGATAAAATCATTGAACAGTAGTAAAGATGAATGCATTTCATGCCAAGTGGGTAAGCTTGGAAGCATCCTACTAATTAACTGAGATACAGATGTGCTTAGAACTGAGCTTTTAGAAAATAAACAGCATGTATTTTCACTGCTCATAGAAGAATGGTGCAATTCAGAGATCAAGTTTAAAGCTATGCTTAAATGCATAGGAAGAACTGAAAGAAAAAAATGAGTGTTTTGTTTACTATTGTTTAAGACAAATGGCCATTAAATAAAAAGATTAATAGTTCAGCTGCAGCCCATTTTGTGGTCATTTGCCATAATAATACTAAACATGACACTTTGACTTCTGAAGGTATAAGAAGCATTAAAAAGGATGGCTTGATTTTTGATATTTAATGCCCTAGTACATGTGATATTTTGATTAGTGTGTTTGTGTGGCTGTTTGTCAAGGAGAAAGGTAAAAAATTAAGTAAAAAAGTGTTCAGTAACCAAAGATGTTTTCATAAAATACAAACATTTGTTGTTTTCTGTATACAGTCTGAGAAAGGACAAGAGTTCCTTCTTGCCTTTTAGGTTTACATTTTTGTTGTAACTTACAAACAACTTGGTCAGAGTTTCTGCCTCTGGCAGTTTCAGTTCTACTAATTTATTCAGTCTCCCATCTGTTTGGTTTTTACAAACTTAAATGATCAATTTGCATAAGGCCAGTCCATGCTAGATCTACCTGGTAGATCAAGGTGATGCCAAAATTTACTTGACTCTTAAATCTATTTTCTTTAAATTTGGATTAAGAAGCTTCATTTAAATGCTGTATGACAAATGATCATTAAGGCCCTGAAGTTTTATACATGTTAACATCAGTATTGTTAAACATGCTTTTTGTATTTTTGCCTTATTTTATTTCCTTATCACTGGTCAAGAAGCCCTCTAGAAGTTTTTTTCTAGTTCATTGACTGTATCCATAACTTGAGTTTCAGTACTCTGTAGCCTTACTTGCTAGAATCCATCTTCATTGGAATTACCTTTGCAACCACTGGGGAAAAGCTATGTCATGTGTAAAGAGAAAGGGTGGCTACTTTTGATTTTTTAACTTTTATTTACAATTTCTGTGAGTTCAGTCATTAAAAAAACAATTGAATAATATGCTGGTGCTGAGTGTACATGGTAGAATGTCTGCTTTCACTCAAGTCAGAACCTGAGCTCCCTGGGCAAAAGCACAGGGAGAAGGGTACATTTGCATTATTTGTTCTTAAAATAAATGTGGTTTTGAAGCTGATATGCAAAGAGCATGCAAAGCATTCAGAAAAGAATGGGGAAGAAAAATGCTTTCCTTTTACAGTAAGTCATGAATAAGTGATGTATTAAAACTACAGCATCGGATCAAAACACTGGTCTTAAGAACTGTGCCTCTGCACAGGCAAGAACACAAAAGGATGGTTGTAAACAATGACCTACTTCTTAACATGTGTATTCATATATCATTTTAAGTAGCATTTAAAAAATATTCTGGTCAATGACTTAATACATGTAATATGAAAATAAATTAAGGAAGGATGATTCTTCTATGCCACCTTGTAGTAAAATCTGAACTGACAGATTTTTAGATTGCATTTTCTGCTTTGTGCGTTACTTTTTATAAGCAGTAAATTAATAAGTTATTTTATGAACTTGTATCACATGTGTGAAACCTGATCTATAGACTTAGGGATATGTTTAGAGCTTAATGATAGTTTAGGTCCCAAACATAACTCATTTTATAGACATGGTTTTTGTTGTTCAAACATGCTGAGGAATTTGATTGAAGAATTGACTGTGTGTGAATATCTGGTGATGGTTTTTCCTCTGGTGCTACGGTAAAATAATAGATCTATCAGAGGGAAAATGCTGCTGTGTTTAAAACAGGTTTATTCCCTACATGAGTTTTGGTTATCTCCAGGTGCCTTTCACCTAAATCATCTGAGTCTGAATTCTGCAAAGCATGTGCTTGTATCCAGTGGTCAAACATCAGTGCATCCCTCATGCTTAGCTGGGGCACAGCTTTAGCTTCCTCTTTTGAACGTGGTTCTCTTTGGTTTTATAGGGTGGATGGGGAGTTGCTACTTTAAAAAGGCTTGTTGAGTGCTCGGGGAAGGCAGGAGTAACACTGGAGGAAGGTGAAGGGGGGGACCTCTCCCTTTGGATGGCAATTCTGCATGGAACTGCATCTCTCTTCCAGTTTCCCAAAACTCCAAGAGTCAATGATCCTTCAGTGTCTTGACTATTAGCCTGGAGGTTGAGTTGTTCTGCAATGCTATTGCAAAACAGAAGTTTGTTGGTTTAGTATGAGAAGACCTTTAGAATTGTGAAATAAAGACCCAAAGATCACTTCTCGTAATGGTCAAGACTGAATTTAATCCTGATTGTGTACAGTATATGTCAATGGATATAGCCAAAAACATATTCCTGTCTTGTAAGGGCTATGAATTACATCAGTGATGATGATATTCAGAGAACCTTATTTTGTTAGAAGTAGTATTTAACTCATTTTGAAATTATTTTCTGAATACTTACAAGCATATGCTTGTATGTCATCACTACAGATTATATCACAGTTCTCCTCTGCAGGAAATTTGTCATGTGGTGATTGACATATATTTTTACCAGAGAGAAAGACATTAGTAAATGCACAGAAACTTCATAAAAGTTTGTGGTTTGGTTTTTTTTCCTAGAACAGAAGGTTTCTTATTAGATATTCCAGGATCCTGCCCATTGAGAAAATATAAAAGAAATATTTAACTCAATTACTTAATGAAAAGCTTGGGGTGTCTAATAATTGTTACTAGCAGCAGTACAAATGTCAGTAGTAGGAAATGGTGACCATCCTGCTAGGGTTATGTTTGCACCCTTTCAACTCTGATTGCACAGAACCAATAGCAAGTACATTGTTCTCTGCAGTAACATGATGTTTGTTTAGTGAACCACGGGCCATTAAGGCAGACTGTATTGTGTTTAGACTTCATAATACAGATAGGTAGGTACTTTAAAGGTCACTACACCAGTTTGTGGTGTTCTCTACTGAATGGGGTTTGTAGTTTAAAAAACCTTTGAGAGAATAATTGTTGCAGTGCTTTATCTTATACCACGTGACTTCAGGAAATGAGAAGGGTCTTGGAGAATAGCAGCCAGCAGGAACACTTTTGCAGTAGTAGGGATTTGGAATTGATCCGGAGGTGTTAATATTCATCAACTGTCCTTGTGTTTTTAGACATTCAGCTCTGTTTCACAGTCTGGTATGTGCTGCACAACCACAGCAGCAAAACTTACTGCATAATGACCCCAGGTGTTATATTTTCATCCTTCACTGAAAGCAGTCACTTAGTCCTCCTTAGGTGATCTGACTAAATTAGTAAATTTACTTGTTTAATTCATTCTCCATTGGTAATTTACCATTGCATTAATGGGGGGAAGATGGGAGAGGAGAAACAACAAAGATAATCAGAGAAAGAGTGTTTAGTTTGTAGTCTTTTAATGGTGTAGTTAAAACCTGTTGACTTTGGTCTTTCATGCCATTTTCAGTTAGAAGGCATATTTTCTCAAAACCATGGAAAGGTCCATGAGTAGCCTTGTAAAACTTCTGAAGATGGCCAAGAGCTTAGCTGGCTGGATGGGCAGAGTCCATATCAGAACCAGAGAAAATCCAGCAGCATTTGGATGTCATAGCTCCTGTGCTGTATGTATGACTTTCCCCTCCAGCAGGAATATGTGTAAAGCTCCGTCTTCTACGAAGCCATATGAATGTATTTTCTA